GAAAGGATAAGGGGGGAGAAGGGGGGGAGGAGGAAGAGGAGGAGAGGACTTGGCATGACCCCAGAGGGAATAGGAGTATGTCCCAGGCTTGCCACAGGAAAGGGAGCATGGCCCAGCCCTAACCCGGGACCACTGGTAGAAGGGGCATGGCCTGACTCTGATCAGGCATGTGAGGCTTGAGGTTTGGAAATTTGGCATGAGGAAGGGTGGACACATTAATGGCCACTGCTTCCTTGCTGCCAAATTTCCTGACCTGTGGGGGGGGGGGTGTCCCACGGGCCAGATCCAATGGCTCCGTGGGCCACATTTCACTTGCGAGGCCAAGGTTGGTCACCCTGCTTTTACATAATGTAAGTGACAACTCTTCTCAGGCCCTGCCCTGCTGCCAGGCCCCAGTTAGAAGGGTTGGCTTCAAATGTAGCGGTTTAACACCAAACATATTAAAAAAGTAAGAGAGTTTGGTTATCAGTAGAAAGTGTGCAATAAAAAAAAATTCTCGTGTTGGAAACCTGATCGACTTCAGCAATGGTTTTACACTGCACTGTGTAATTTATAATTTGTTTCAATTAGTTAGACAGATTAGATGATGATTTAAAAAGAGAATTAGAACAAACACCCAGTAGTTGTCTTTAGCATTTAAACAGAATGTTATCAACTTTTAGTAAGACTGACTGAGTTATCAAGCACTAACAGGGGATTCACCACTAGCCATTATCAGAAGACATCCAGTTATATTATGAAAATTCTCAAACTAGTACAAACATCAATAGAAATGATTATCTAGGAATATCCTTTTCCTTGAAAAGGGACAGAAGGGTTGAAACACAGAAACTATAATACTTTTATCTTACAAAAGGACACCTGGACTAATAAAGAGGTTAGAAACATAAACTAGAAGGTGAAGGCTGACAGATCCTCTTTCGTAAGAGCTGTACTTATAACCCGAAAGAAAACTTCCAAGAGCTGCTATAAGCAGCATCTCTTTAGAAGTACAGCTAGGAAACAAGTAAATGAATGCTATTGGCTGCTCAAAAATACTTGGTCCACTACTTGTATGCTTCTCTGGCTAATAGCCATGTGTACATAACTGTCAAAAAATGAAATGTACAAAGATGTTCTCATCTCAGGTTTAACAAACTAAATGTTGGAATTGGACTAATCAGGAAGACAAATGTTACGCAACACAGTAGGAATCAGAACTCGTGGTAGAGGCGATATATATTTTATTAGACCTACTAGATTTTTGCAAAAAAAATTCTTTATTTGCAAGCTTTCAGGCACAGGAGAAAAGACTGTAAAAGTTCTCCTAAGCAGAAGTGAAAGTTCATATTTCATAAGAAAGTTGAAGATGTAGTAAAATCTTCTGTTTGGAACAGTTTAGTTTATGCAGAAGAAGGGTCCCAAAAGCTTACAAATAAAGATTTTTTTTGCAAAAATCTAGTTAGTCTAATAAAAGATATCAGCTCTACCACAATTTCTGATTCCTTTTGCCTCTAGACCAATATGACTACAACCTGGATCCCACGCAACACTGTAAACTTTGTTTATTGCATTAAGTTCCATACTTGTAGACTCAGGATGTAATAAGTTTTCTAAAGAAAGTCTAGCTTTGCTGCTAGCTACTCATATACTTTAAGTTTTCACTATATCAGTTCAAATGTAGGCATTATAATGAAAGTGCATACCAGAAAGTAAGCTGTACTATATAGGATAAACTAATTATGAAATGGACTCACTCTTCTTGCATATACAAGATTAGGTTGTAAATTCTTGTGACACATTCAAAAGGAAGTTATCAAAATATTTAGGTGTAGACTGTAAAAGAATGCCATCTGCTTGGCAAAACATTTAGTTATTTGGAAAGATGGTGTTGTAAACAAGACAATCAGAAAATTAACCAAATAAAGACAAAGACATTTTACATGTTTATATGGTAGCTTTTACTTTCTGAGAATTAACATTATGAAAAAAGTATTCTTGTTAATTTTTTTTTTCCCCCAAACAGGCCCATTCAAAGACTGTCAACAAGCCAAAGAAGCTGGGTATTCCAACAGTGGAATTTATATGATCAAACCTGAAAACAGCAATGAGCCAATGCAGTTATGGTGTGAGAACAGCCTGGACCCTGGAGGCTGGGCAGTTATTCAGAAAAGGACAGATGGATCTGTCAATTTCTTCAGGAATTGGGACAGTTACAAGGTAAATGTCATTATTCAGAAAACAAGGAGCTTCCTTTTGGTGGGAAAATGACTGAGAATATCATTCATGGCTAGCCACTGTAACAAAGTTTCTCTCTTTGTTAAGTTTAAAGGTAAATCAACTTATATTTCAAAATATAGACAAGTATTTTATGTATAACATGCAGTGTGTCCACCTGTGGGGTATGCAACAAGCTCTTCTGAACAAAGATTTTTTTTTCCATTTATATTCCAACAGTCTAATTAAAAACAAGATTTCTGTTAACAATTAGAACATGCTTAACTGTACGTACATACATAGTCCAATTCAGTTTAGTGGGATTATTCATTTAAGTGGAGTTTAGTATGTACATACATTTTTAGGATCAGGGCCTTCGTTTTTGAGAACAACTTATCTTGAATTTAAAGTAAGCCCCTCTTAGCTTTATAATAAAGTTTGAATTTTGTTTTAGGCAGTAGGGTCAGGGAAAAGAACTATACTTTCGTACATGCTTCCCTAACCCAGCCATACAGTGTATACAAATTATTAGTCTAATTACTGACTACATTTTCATAGGAAACGCATCCCATTCTGGACCCAATTGAGAATGGGCTACTTATATGCTTAAAAAGTTAGGTATGTCGGTAAGGATCTTGCTCAATTGGGGCCTTTATGGATAATTTGGATTGCACTGGGTATATTATTTGCCATTACTACAGCTGTGCACTGCTTGAGAAGAAATACAGCTTGGTCAGATAATGCAAAATTTAGTATTTTCATAATAAACAGGGCATTCATGAGTCACCCACATTGCATGTACAGAGCTTATTTGAAGCTGCAGTTGTGTCTAGTGTCTGAGGGGAGAAGTGAGCTACTGTAAAGATTACATTTACCAGCTCAACTAATAACCTGTAACACGACATATGCAAAGAAAGCACACGCAAGTTATTATGAGAACTTTAAAAATTTTAAACATATCAGTGGAATCTCAGACACCAGGGCTCAGTTTCTTCCTCCTCATGCTACCACCAGTTCTACCAGTAATTGTTAAGTTACTCATAAATAAAATACTAAATCAAGTCAAGTTAGATTGGTAGAATCTGGCCTATGCAGATTAAAAAGAAAGGGTCAAGAAGGTCAAAAGTCTAATACCTTTTAGTGGTTTCAAAAAAATTTTACTGAAATATGCTACCATTGCTGATAAATATCCTCATTAAAAAGATTAGGAAAGCTAAACTACTTAACCTCACATTCTGGTTTTCTTTGTACAGAAAGGATTTGGCAATGTTGATGGAGAGTACTGGCTGGGACTACAAAATATCTACATGCTTACCAATCAGGACAATTACAGGTTGTTGATTGAACTAGAAGACTGGAGCAATAAGAAAGTTTATGCAGAATACAGCAGTTTTCGCCTGGAGCCTGAAAGTGAATTTTATAGGTTGCGTCTGGGAACTTACCAAGGAAATGCTGGGGACTCCATGATATGGCACAATGGAAAACAATTTACAACACTAGACAGAGACAGAGATATGTACACAGGTAAGGAAACTAATGCGTCACCCAGGAAAAAGCTGGCTGGTCCAACAGATACCACCTTCAACATATACAATGGTTTTAAGAAAAAAATACAACATTTAAATTATGATAAAATGATTAATATTATTACTAGTTCTTCAAAGTAAGCAAATCAAGCACGCACAGGTAGTCCAACTGACAGAGCCTATTTTGAGCCTGCTGCATAATTCAGGACTTAGTTATTTTAAATTTGGTGACTTTTGATAAAAGTCAAGTCTAAGAAGGTTTGCACATACTCCAATCCGAATAAGGGCCTTTGCCTATATTGTTCTTAGAAGTCACACCACTCTTCTTTGAAGATAAACTCGTAAAGCACTAGCTCTCAGCCTTCAGACTAGACCCAGACATATATTCGCCAACCTTTGCCAATAATTGCAATGTTAAGTCCCAATCCTGCTAAGTTTTAAGCATACAGGTAACTTTAATCACATTAAAAGACTCACTGGCTGCATCTACATGAGATGCTAACTATGCAGGTATTACTGTGCAATCCCAAGTACAAAATGATTGTGCTGTAATTGGCATTAGTATGCAGTAGCATCCTTGCATGACTTCCTGATAACGCTGACTGCACAGTAACCTGTTCTTACTGTACAGTAGCATGCCACTGTTTGTGCCCTGCACAGTAGTAACTGACCCTGCCCACCAAGCATTTCATGCAGATGCGGCCACTGATGGGACTATTCATAGCTTTATAAAATTAAGTACATAAGTAACTTTGCAGGATCCAGGGCTTTGTGTATTACTCATAATAAAGTAAGAACACAATTGAGACAAAAAAGTATTTATTTTGACAACAAGCCCAACAACACTAATCCAAAGTAAACAGCAAGTAAAAAACAAAATGAACTGCAGAAAAAGAAACAATCCTTGCTTTGTTGACACTTATTATGCAATTTTGGACCTCAGGCCAGGTCACACTGGTAAAACCAATGACTTAAGCCAAGGGTGCAGGCTGGATCTAGTCCATGGAGCCACACAACTGGTTGCATTCAGAGGTGGGGTCTCTCCCTGTGTTGCAGTGCAGTCCAGTACCTGAAGTCTGATGAAGAGGGAGCTCTGCCCACAACAGGCTGCAGCTGGGCACTCAGGGCTTTGGCTGAGAGGGGTACTTTCACTGTAACATGCTACATCTGGATAGCAGGGAGGAGCTGTGACAGTGGCTGGGTCCTAATGCCCACACTGTATCATTCAGCCCCCCCGCTCACCAGAAAAACATGACCAGCTTCTCACTAAAACAGCTATTTGTCATTATTAGTTGTTGAGAAGATAATATGCCACCTCCTTAAATAAAAATCTGCTTCACGGCAAATTAACAAAATTAAAATATGAGTCATGTTGCTCCTACTTAGGTAGTTCCATACAGCATACAGCAGAAATTCTTAAATTCAGTTCATGGAACACAGCTGATTAGTCAGATGGTGTGGCTAAGGACACATTATTACTAATATTATGTTCCCTTATAAACAACTCGTTGTAGGGGAAAGGAAGTTAAGAGGATTGTAAATGGAATAAGTGATATATGAGAATGCAAAGTGGTTTGCAAAATAAGATTTCTTACCAGCTAGTCACAGTATGAATAAGTTTGAAAACCCCTCATCTATCAATTCCCATAAGTGCTTCAGTTTCACTTATTTTATTTTCTCCCAACAGGAAACTGTGCCCATTTCCACAAAGGAGGCTGGTGGTACAATGCCTGTGCACATTCTAACCTTAATGGAGTGTGGTATAGAGGAGGCCATTACAGAAGCAAGTATCAGGATGGGATTTTTTGGGCTGAATATCGAGGAGGTTCATATTCCTTGAAAGCAGTTCAAATGATGATCAGACCAATTGACTGAGTGGGGAGAAGTTAAAGCTTTATCATACTCAAGTGATCAAATAGAAAAACAACAACAACACTTTTCAGTGCCTGGATTCCAGAAAGAGAGTTACATTTAGACCCTTATTTTGCACAATTTGGCTCTGCAAGATACAGGGCTACAAGTATATTTTGTTTGGGTTTTTTGTTCTTGTCTTCTTAAAAACTTTCTTACTGTGAGACAGCATTTGTTACCTATACGAGCTTGTAATAACATACAAAACATGCAGGAATTCCACCTGCAATAAATATTTATCTTTGTCCAAGTCCAAAACACATCACTGGTAGTCATTAAAGCTACTAAAAAAAGATTTTCCAGTTGAAATACAAGCTATGAGCTTCTTCAGATTTGTTCAACCATTATATTTAATATGTGAAATGATTTAGTTTAACGTGAAAATTATTCCATTTCAGTTATTTAACAATTTATTTAAAATCTTTATTATAGGATTACTTATAAAAATGATTTCACATTATTATTGCTTTGATATTTACATATGTAAATGAACATGCATCCTAAAACAGACAAAAATGAGACCTACACTACCTTTGACAGAAGAAATATTTTCCACCAGTTATTTCAATATGGAGTTGCAAATTAAGCATAAAATAAATGTCAATGGCATAGAAAACTCCTTACAGAACATGTGCATCCTGCCTCTCAGCACACTTACATAACACGTTTCCCTGCATGATAAATGAGAAAAAAGTAAGAATGAAGTTATAATAAAACATATACTTTTAAGAAGATGCAAAAGTAAATTCCTCAGTGCTCATCTCTTCCACTTGCCTTGGTATTCAACACATCTGGCAGACAGATAGTGCTATGGTACGTACTCCACTAAACATGAAACTCTTTCTTAATAGCTTGAACTCAAACATAACAGCAAAAGTGGAAGAAATAAAAAAGGGCAAATTACAGCATGATACACAGAGAATCTCAACATCCCTCTAATTGCAACCTCATCCCATTTCCCAAAGAGACATCAACCTTATTTTGGTAATACTCTCTCTTTTTTTTTTTCCCCCTTCTAATTCGAACAAAATCCTGCAGTTTATATTATGCCAATATGCATCAATTTGCTTCTGAACTCTGTCTAGATACCCTCCATGGGATGTTTATGTTTTCCTAGATAGGCAAAGGAAGCTGATATGCAGCTGTAAGTCAACCTTCAAAGCAAAAATGTCAGTATTTTTTCTTGTTGTTTTATTTAGTTTCTTTTGAGGTTTGTTTTTTTAAGGTAAACCTAAGCTGACACTTCAGATGACTAAGTGGGTGAAAAGGATAAGGACATTTAACTACTTCTCTTACATATGTATCTAATGAATACCATAAAAAAAAAAGCAAGCCAAAAGGTAGGATTTTCTTGGTTTCACAGTCTCCAGTAGATTGTTAACAGTTCAAAGAGCAGTTCCATGTACAGAAGTATTTACGGTTTGTTCAACAAAATAGTTTAAAATCCAATTCTTAAATTCTACAATGGTGCTAATATACATTATAAAGCTGCAAATGAGAATGTGAAGGTGACTTAAGCTCTAACATTTTACTGTATAAAATTTGCAAAGTCACATGAACTTCTCAAATCTGCTGCTCTACCCCCTTCATAGCTGGCAAATACCTTCCTTTCCTTATAAAAGATAAAAAAGCACTTCCAAAGTAAAGCTTAGATGATTTCTTAGTGGATTTTAGGAGTTCCATTTCAACATGTACAAAATATATTTTTTCATGTCCCTGAAAGAACAGATCCATCTCAGTATATGCCTTGGCACCTTTTCTATAACCAGTCGTAAGGCTGTGAGGTGAAGACTAAGCTGCATTATTGCTAGGTTTGGTAAGATTCAGGGGTTTTTTCCCCCTAAATCAGTAAACATGGATAAAATGCTGATCTCACCTCACAGTCCAGTAAAAAAAAAAAAAAACATATTTCCATCATTAATCATCAAAATTTATAGAAAGGGGGCTTAAGAAAAATGATAGCTGATGGAGTGAGAGACAGAGGGAGCAGTTCCTGCAGAACCATGCTGACTGTAGCTTGGACTGCAACTCCCAGAAACCCCAGGGGACTGGGAACAAAGGAAGAGGAAGTGACAGTGCACAATGGAGCTACAGGCAAGTGGAGCTAAAACTGAGTGCAGCTCTGCTGCTCAGCTGGCAGCAGTCCTACAGTTGTTACATTTGTTGTGGCAGGTGGTTAAAGTGCACAATCCTGAAAATTTAAATAGATAAAAATTTAAGCATTTATTTCAAAAATGAATATCAATATTATCTATCAAAATAACTAGAAAATAAAAAAGTTTAATTGTGCCAAGCCTAATTATTGCAAGAGATACCCATGAGTTGACAGTAGTTCTAGCTGACTGACTTCAAAGTCTTAAGGGGTAAGACTTATCTTAAGCAATACCAGCGCCACAATTCATATTTCTTAACCATTTAGACAAAAATGCAACTTTAGGAGTCTTCTAGGACCCTTTAAGTATGATACATTTGCCACGAGTTAACAAATTCACTGAGTCCATGAGCTTTTTAACATAATGGACATCATAACATTTAATTCTTAGCCACTTTAGATGCCAAAATCCTGATCTAAAGCCTTATTACTTTTCAATCAAGCTGGAGGGGAAAGCAGAGAGCCTGCTGACAGAAGATGGGATGCACACATAGAAAGTAACAGAAAGTGAACAAATTTATTCTAGGGAAGGAGATGTATAACTGCCTTGACCTGAAACTAGATAAAGAAAAATAATGGGAGAAATAAAGAATACCTTATGGAAAAAGGACAGCCTGTGGCCTAGAAGAGTAAACACTGCATCAAGAGTTGCAACAATCACTTAAGTGATAAAAATGAGTTCAAGTTTCAACTACACATACATAATCTGTAAAAGGCTACTTAGCCAGAAGACTTGTCATGTCTGAGTCTGCTGACAGACATGAAAACAAACAAACAAAACAAAACCACACTTTACTGGAAGAGGCAGTGTGATAGTTTACCCAGCTCCACAGCATCTGTGTAGATCAGGTGCTTCAGTGGGGCTTTTAGGAACTTTATCTAATGGCTGATTCAATGAGCCATTAGATAAAAGTGCCCGATCTATACAGATGTTGGGTGAGGTGCGTCAAACCAACACAATGCCTCTTCTGGGCACGTGCTGGGCTCAGCAGGGACGCACACCACATTTAAAGTGACACTTTGGGATGTTTTGTTTTACACCTGTAAGCAGCCTAAACGATCAACCATCCCTTAAGATAGCGGCTTAAATTTGGAAATCTACGCACAGGAAACAGTCTAAATTCAACTTCTGAAGAAGCTTAGGTTGATGCCCTATATTATAAGATAGGTGGCCCTGGAAACCACTAAATTATATTAAAGAGATACACAAACAAAAACACAGACATTTTATCTAAAAGCAACTAGTATTAAAATAGAAATAGACACTGCCAGACAGCAAAACACGCACTTACAGGCTGCATAAATAGAGAGCATAAAACTTTTGTGAATTCATGCTAACTTCATCAGATGCTGTAAAAGGACAAGTGTAGAGCAAGATATGAAGCGAGTGATTTGACTACAAAAAGGTAGGGAAGGAAGAGAGGGAGGAAGGGGCAGAAGACAGAGCTGGGAGATGCAAACAAGTGATGAACCCATATACACAAGAGCCACAACAGCTAATCCAGGTAATAGGATAAGGTTCTGTAATCCATGTTTAACCTATACTTAACACAATCCTGTCCATGGATGATTTTTTGTTCCACAATTTCCCCATTCAAAGTGTCTTTTTAAATTTTGCTGCCTGTAAAGAACAGTTACCTCACCTGCCAAAACTAACTTCTATTATGTCTTCCCCACTCCCTTCCTCCACCTGGAAGAATTTCAAGCGATTGTTAGAAAAAGTGATAGGCATGCATTACACATATATAACAAATAAGGGTGGAAGAAATATTAGGTAACTGCAATAGTATAAGATATGCACAGAGTGCTGAGAGCTCCAGGCCACTTGCTATGTACAATACTGTAGTGGAAGGCAAGCAAAAAGCTGGTTTTCTAAATTAAAACATCAATAAGTCTGGAGGCTATCTTATTTTATTTAAATACAATAATAAAATGTCCCCTAACCACCCCCGCTCCAATGCGCATAGGAAATAAGACCCTTGTCTTACATTCACATATAGGGAAACCTCTTCATTAAATACACTATCATTAAACTGCCACTGAGAGCATCATCTGCTCAATAATTAAAACCAGCTATGAAGTTGACTGAATGCAGCCCATACTTGAGCATACCTGTAAAACATATGGTCCACATTGTGCAAACACATTCATAGGAAGCTTCCACAAGGCTAGTAGTGCAACCCATCTGAATAAAATATATGGGAGTACCCATTGAGCACAGTCCTCCTCAGAAACAACTCTCTGTCAAGTCATGGTGAGCCACTACACTGGATACATTTTGACTTTGTCTTCATTCCTGAGCAGCATCTTTCTTTTCCATTTCCAATGATTCTTGTTTCTTTATCAGCCTTTAATGCCTGGCAAACATCACCAAACACCTACGTAGATGAGAAGCTCTCTTTCTCCCCTTCAGCTCATTTCATGCAGCTGCTGTGGCCCTGCCCTCCATGGAGCAGAGCCAGACCAAGCAGCCTCAAGTTTCACCTGCGTATGAGCTTTTGGAAAATCCCAGGACTTGCAACAAAAACACACGGTCCCAGCTGTGAGTGGGGAAATGATTAGCACATGGATCCTTGGAGGGGGGGTGGGGGGAGAGGGTGGAATCTGGAGTACACTCACCGAGTACTGCTGCATGGTGGAATCACCATGGCTGGAAACACTGTTGACTCTGCTAGAGCACAACCCAATGAACTATGTGCTAAATTATTAACCTTTTCACTTTGGATTAATATGCATAGTTTGTACTATGAATAAGTAGGTACAAGAAGTGCTACTCAAAAGTATGATTATGAAGTAGCTTTGCTGAAACTTGCAGCAGTTTGCAAAAAAAGGTAAAAATGCAGTAGCAAAAAGGCCAGCTGACCGCCCCCCCTCGCCCCCAGCTACCCCTTTATTTGGTGCCATAGTGGGAAGGGGACAAATTCAAAGAGACCCCTCTGATAATTAGACTCTATACCTGGAAAATTAACATAAAAAGTGATACATTTTCCATAAATAAAATCTAATTATGGGGGGGGGCATCTTAAATTCAGGGTCGTCTTAGATTCAAGTAAATACAGTAAGAAAGCATGGCTCTGAAATACTTTAACCAAGTACTCAATACTAGTTTTTGTAAACATAGTATTTTTATTCATGTTATGTTTAATATAAAGCATTAGGGCAAACTAAAAGGAAACATTATGTATAAATGACACTGGATTATTTAATGAAGTTTTCTGGACAATTTAAGTTTATAAGATTATGCCACAAGGTAAAGCAACTACTTTAATGTTACATCATGGTCACAAATATTGAAGGTTGCCATGTATTTGCATAAAAATCAAAGTTAAGCTGGTTAAAACATTGATTTTACATTTATTCAAGAACCAGGAAAAATGAAGGTTTGTGAGTACTGATCTTTGAGCAAGCGTCCACCATCAGCCAAGTAGTTCATTTAAACACTGCATTACTAAAAAGACCCTAAGTGTCCTATTTACAAAATTATATTTTCCCTCCATTTCCAACCATAATTTTGAGAGAAATGGTAATGAATCCAAAGCAGGAATTAGTCCTACTCTGAGACAGGAGTTTATTTTGGAAGACAGAGATATTGAACTTCTTAGAATGTACATTTCCCTTGCTAACCTAAAAATATATTTCCTGTTCACCTCTACTTAAGAAACTATCATGAATAAAAGTTTCTAGAAAGTGTGTAGTAAACAGAGATTCAATTAGCAATTATAAGCAGAGACAAATTTTACAGAAAACCCCACACATATCATTGATTTGAAGTGAATCAAATTTTTCTTTAACTACCACCTCTGATAAAGCCATGTAGTAGGCAACTTTTCTGTCACAATAGTGACCATCTTAACTAATTCTTCCAAGCAAGGCAAATTTATATACAAACTAATGACATCACTGGCTGAATTACTGAAAAAGTGGTTTCTACTAGAATTAACATGCAGATATGAAAGCAGTTTTTGGTCCCAGGGTTTTAGATACTATATGTGCATTAAAAACAAAATAAGACATTGCTGAAGAAATTAAAGTATTACAAAATACTCATTCTATTCAAGTCTATTTATTGTTAATCTAATATTTATTTGTTCTAAACATATTAAGGCCCCAAAACAGTGTGAAAAGTTTAATTATCATTTATGTGGAATGTTATTAATGACTTGGTACAAGGTTACAACAGAAGAATGGCATGAGTACTCCAGTATTACTTTTTGGAGTAACATATGTCCATTCACTGACAAAGCAGCAGCTAGCTAACTATAACTGAAAAAAAGAAGACTATAAAACTTTGACATTGCTTTTTGCAAGAGAGGGATATTTCTGGTTTTCATTAAAAACTTTCCATAGACTTGATTTAGCTATAAATATAACCATTTAAAAACCTGTTGAAAGTTCCAGCTTCTTTTACAGTAGCACTGCTAGACAACACAGCTATATTTAGGAGTTGAATTAGTATCCCATGAACATTTCCTTAGAGCATTACTAATGACAACTGCAACACTTCCTGCCTATACATTCCCTTCTGTCTGTCCAAATAGCAATTATTTCTGCACAAAAAGCTACTCTTTGCTACAAAACAACTATTTTCCCAAAAAATAACATCCAAGACAAAACACATTTTATACAAATACCTAATTAAGACAGATGACATTTAAAAAAAATCTGTTCTTTTTTAGATGAAATTTACTGAAACCACCTATTTAAGCCTTTACATTTATTCTAATTAAGTTTAGCTTCATAGATAGCTGAAGCCATCTCTACCCCCAAACTTACAAATTATAGTATACCATTGTTATGCTCATTAAAAAAAAAAATGTACTAAGTTTACATTAAAAATGTACCATACAATACAAATGAAATATTCTGAAAAGGAGAACATTTATTTAAATGTTTGCAAGTCTATTAGTTTATAGCAGATTTGGTAATCTCATAATTGTGATAATGAAATGTCTTCTATTAGAATGCCCCATTTTTGTTTGCTTATAGAACTTTTCAGAACTAAGAAAGATGGGCTGTTTTTTTTCCAACTGTCAACTAACTGCAAAAAGCTCATTTTGGGGGAAAATTAAGCCAAGAAATTCTCCTCTGAGAAGGAAGCAAGAAAAAAAATACATGTTTTCCCCATATTAAGAAACTTTTCTTTAAGACATGATAGTCACTTCTTTCCCTACCCCCATCTTTGGATTAGGGACTGAAGTGCGCTTTTCAGTTCCTGTAAAATTTGCCCAGATCTGGCCCAGTTATAAGCTTTGGGGAGGGATCTGTGCTTTACACATGCTGAGGAAAGCAGATAGGCAAAACCTGGAAGATCCCATCTACACTCAATGTGCTCTAGTCCAGGCTGCAAGAGCCAAGAAACTTCCCTGCGAGTGCTGCCTGCTCACGGGAGGGCACTGGAATGGCAAGGAAAGACAAAAGCATGGGATACATAATTTCTTAACTGGGCACAGACAGAGCAGAAGGAAGATGCCCAATTCAAATGCAGAGAGCAGCAAGGATCAGGATCAGGTTGAGGGAATGGATGGTGGGAGCAGATTGAGATAAGGAGGCTATAATGGGAAGGAGAAGGTCCAGTCAGAATGGACTGGGTAAGTCAGTGCAAGGTTTTAACTTATGAAGTGCTAGGTGATATTAAATACCCTAAAAAAAGTGTCCCAAAAGATCCAGGCATCTGAAGTTTGGCACCTATTAGTGAATACTTTTAGCTGAATCACTGCCTTCATTTTCCATTCATAATTTGGGCATAATACCACCAATTCCAAGAGAAATACAATAGTTTGTTTTCGTGGAAAACTCCAACCGTAGAAAAGAGCACCACCGAAAAGCCGATGAGGAAATGAGTTTGGCCTTTAAATCAGGATTTGAATAGTTTGTTGTAAACAGGAAATAGGGAATCACATAAAATAAAGAGAAAACAAAATATTTACTAGCTATTATTACATGAACAACCACAATTCTAGCATTTTTTAATTTTTGAGCATTTTACTGAGTCATCTTGATGTTGACTCATTCTTATAACCTAGAACTCTGCATAAAATAGTCCCCTAAAGATCTGTATAGCCACAAAAAAAACCTGGGTAGATAATCAGCTGACTTGGATCATCTTCTCAATTAACTGATTCCAATTTTTGCATAATTGAAGATATTTTTCAGCATATTCTCTTTCCCAGGGTTATATCCTTAGTAGTATAAACTTCCCGTTATGCAAGTGGAGTAGACATGATAACAAGAATTATACGTGGAAGGATACATATTTGTAATGTTCTATTCCACTTTGCAGCACACTGCTCTATTTTTCCTCCTACAGAAATAATGCCACCACAGTGCCAAATCCCCTATACAACCTCTTAAGTTTGTTCTGAAATTTCTGACACAAACAAATGAGTATTCTTAATGATTTTCAGATTTAGAGCAATCTCTCATCATACACAGCAATATTTTTCCTTGGTATTTGCCAAAGAAGGGCTCTTCAGACAAATGTTTATAACCTTTCTTCAAGGTTTCCTCCTAACAATTTAGCACAGCTGATCTCAGCTTCAGTGAAACACACATAGAAGACTATTTCAAGGGGTAGTGCATTTAAAGCCAAGAACACATCTTATTTTTATTAATATGACCACTTGTTTTACTGTGACGTCTGGCAGCACACTGGTAATTAAGGTTTTTCCAGAATTTCCATTATATACCACATTTGAGAGGTGTGACAGTCTGCTTCAGAAAAAAAATTAACATATAGCAAAAGCTTTGTTATCCAACACCCTTGGGAAATGGGGTGGGGGGTGCCAGATAACCAAATATGCCGGATACCTGAGAGGCCCAAACAGGCGTCTTTGCCTGTTTGGGCCACTGGCCCTCCCGCCATGTCTGGTACACTGCCGACCCTCCTGCCACATCAGTGTGCCGGGGGACAGGGAGGGAGGCCCTGTACCGGGGGCACTTGGCAGCACAGGCTGCTTTGCCCCGGGCCATGGGGGCTTGGCAAAACCGGAAGTGCCACAGTGGGCACTTCTGGTTTTGCTTTTGCTGCAACAACTGCCATGCTGGTTAGCAGAGCATGCCGGTTTGTAAGGTGCTGGATAATACAGCTTTTACTGTACGTATTTTCATTTTGCTTTGACAAATTACTGAGTTCATACTGGTATTACACACAGCATTACTAGAATTTCTGGAAGAATACTCAGTGGTTCTTATCACTGCCATTAGCCATGCCTTTCTGATTCTTTTCCAGTGAACTGCCAGAGAGTGTGTCCTACTGAAATAATATGGAATTGTGGGAAGGTATAGAGCAGGGATAGGCAACCCTGGCACAGGTGCCAGAACATGGCACACAAAGACATTTTGCTTGGCATACACATCTTTGGGCAGACAGTAGGGAAGGAGCTGGGGCTGCATTGCTACAAGTTTTGGGCCCCTTGCAGCTCCCCTGCCATCTGTCCCTGGCATGCCAACATTTTACAAGTCGAGATTGCAGGTGTTTTTGGTACTCTGCCCAAAAATATTGCTGACCCCTGGTTAGAGGGTTACTGGCACTAGACTAACTTACATGATCTAAAAGAGCCAGGTACTAACAATACACTTTTACTGGTACAAGCGATCAGAAACTGATCTACACCCATAACAGAACAGAAGTTTGTCACAGACTAGTTTAAAAATGGCAGAGCCCAGTTTAAGATTTTCACTAATATGTATTCTTTCTTCCTAGGGGTAAGCAACCTAAAGCCTTGAGATGGGATGCAACCCACCAAGTTTAATCCGGCCCATGAAGCTGGGACATCAGTCATGGCTGTGTTATAAGTACTTGGTAGCTAGGTTACAGGCAAAACCCTGTCTTTCGACTGAGCTCCATCAATTCAGTGTGCTGTTCCTAAAAGGTTGCTTACTAGGACTGCGCAAAGCTTTGGTCCCAGATTCAATTCAGTGGATATTCAGCCCGATTCAATGGCTGAATCTCCGAATCCGAACTGAATCAGGAGACCCTTTAATTTCTCCGAATTGGATCGGAACCCTCCACTGACTGTGACCAGCCCTACGTGAGACACTCAATAAAGAGGCAATGAAGTAGAAGGAAAAGAAAAATGTTTTTGCCTTTGATTTTTGGTAGAGTTTTTTTCCTGAGCAGCAAGGATACTGACTGCTGGAAAATAGAAGATAAGTGAGATCTGATGGGTAAAATTCATAGGTAAAAGAAATCTGAGATATAATGAACATTTAAGATGATTAAATTACAGAGAAAGAGAGAGAGAGAGAGAGATCGATCAGGTCTCACCTATTTGTCTCACCTGACAAAGAACATCTTGCATTTAAAAGCTTGTGTAACTTTATCCCAACTACACAGTTGGTATAGCAAAAGATATCACCCTAAGAAATCCTTGCCTTGCATGTTGTCTCTAGACCAGGGGTGGGCAAAATATGGCCCACGAGCCAGATCCAAGGTCATTCTATCCGGCCTGCGAGGCCCCTAAAAAAATGTAGAACATTAATATTTCTCTGCCCTTGGTTCCTTCAAAAATGACAGGAGCCAAGGGCAGTAGGACCCAGGGGAAGTCTGGCAGGCTCCAAGAGCAGGGCCCACCCGGCCCCACCCCCCAGCCAGAAGCCCCACCTGCTGTTTCTGGGCTGGGACCACATGGCTGCCCCGGCGGCACGGGAAGCTCAGGTAAGTGGGGGTTGGGAGGGAGGTAGGACCCCGGGCAGGGAAGGAGTACAGGGGGGGGGGGGGAGGGGCCCCCCCCCCCCCCCTGGCCCAGGCCCCGCCTTGAAC